TTTGAATAGTCGATTGGAAATCTTGTATTTCAAAAAAAGGCTTTACAGCATCTTCAAAAGCTTCATTCCTGTTTTTTGAGTATGTAGATGCACGTACGAGGTGAGTTCCGAAAGTTCTCACTGGAGGTCCCTTTTCGGTCAGACTCGATACAGCAGCGTTATACTGTATCAATAAAATGTACAATATCATCCCCGGTCCCTTATCTTTCTGCTCTGAACTTGGAGTCATTGAGCAAATTGTTTTATGGACGTTGCAGAAATGTTTGTGAGACCTATTTTCGGCATTGGCATAAAAAGTGAACTTCACTCATGATGAGCGAAGAGCAGTCGCGAAATTTCTATCGACACAGGAAAATAAGCGAATGATATTCACCCACGGCTGTTCTGGCGCACCCGGTCCCAAAAGAACAAATTAATGGCCAATACTACCGGGACTTGCTTCAAAAACGACTGCTTCTTGCTGTGTCCGAACTCCGCCCGCATCTCGCGAACGACCAATTCCACCAAGACAACGCTGCACCTCACACCGCAGTTTTTGATGGAAGCGGGGATCGAAACTTCGCCTCAACCACCGTTTTCGCCTGATCTGATTCTCAGCGAGTTCTGGCTGTCCAGCAGGTTGAAGGATTTCACTTCGGGGGCAGCCGTTCTCGCTTCAGAAACTTCACTTGGAACTGCGACTTACCAATAGTTTAAACGTACCAGCGAAGAATCCTTCGTTCGACGCTACGAAGACTGGATAAAACGGTGGCGACTGTGTCTCGAAGAGAAAGATAATGTAGAAATTACAACCTGAGGGAAAGTTGTCCCTCCGCACTAAAACGATACGAACTTTTAGAACGTACCTCGAAAGATTTTAAGAGAATAGGTTTCAAAAATGAAGCTATTCATGCTTGATGACTATCTGTGCCATCCTTAAATGAATCGAAAAAAGTTTAGAGAAGGCGTTTTCTTTTAATGGAATGATATGTACTAATTACTTGAACACCTTTCTCACGGCATTCAGCAGTGTCACAATGATAAATTGCGGAAAAGCAACTTTTTAGGAGCGGGCCAAAAACCGGACATTCCCCCCCCTACCCCCCCATAAAAGGGCGCCCATCCTTCGTTCTAAGATCTCACAATATGCCAACATCCTAAAATGTATGCATTATTTTAAATTGTATTTTTTAAATCGTCTATTCCATTAGATACTATCTAAACTATGAAACGCTGAGTATCACCGCAGTTGGTAGGACACGAGAGGTGCTGATCACATACACCCTTCTGTGACATCGGAGCTGATAATACAGTATTCCTGTTATGCTCAGCCTGATCCGTGCATCTATCTTCATTGTCATCCACAGTTATGCCACATTCTCATATTCAAACCTTTTTTCCCTTTCAAGGAGCATATAAGAGAAGGAGAAACGAAAACTCCTTTTGAATGACTTGCAAGAGACTCATCAACATGTCGCAAAAATACTACTAAAGCACATGCTGCACTTGCAAAGCGCATGATACGTCCTTTGATACTAGATGAGCGCTGATTACAATTTACCTGCACCATCCTTGCACTTCGTGAGTTTGTGCTTGGCGAAAATCAATTCAAAAGAGATTTTCTATGTCAACCTGTGCATTTCGACGCTTCCTTTCGCGGTATAGAAAAGCATCGACTTCCACGGATCTTGATTCAAGGCACATCAGCTGCCTAATGATTGCCACCGTTTTTGTTTCACTTGCACAGATAAAAGGTTCCTGAAAATCGGAGAATTCATCACAAGGTAAATTCAAGCATATGAACATTCTTAAAAGTAAACAAATTCTCAAATCAGCTAAAAATTAAATTTTCATTGAAAATGATGCTAATCCAATGGCTTGCCAGGTTGAACCAATCGCAGAGAGGAACTGAATTATTCATTGATTCCTCTCCTCAACGAGGAATACGAAGGGCCTGGGATGATTGATGAGAGTGTTGCCAGAACCTTCGGCTTCGGGATGGGTGCGTCCCGTCGTCGTGCGGAATGTTAGTTTTTGCATGAAGATGGTCATGAACAAGAAGAGTTCCATTTGAGCCAAAGACTCGCCCAGGCATTGACGCTTTCCTGTTTGAAGAGAGCATGTTTGAGGATAACTTTGCCTAAGAACAATATTGATGCATGTGGTATGCATAGTCAATCCAACGGCAAATGACTTACCGAGGGAGAATGGAAGGAAGCTGGGAACTTTGGTCTTCACGGATCCATCTGGATTCAAGAATCGTCCCGGATCAAACTGTTCGGGATCGGGCCAGAACTTGGGATCCATGTGACACGACCAAACGTTTGCTAGGAATGTCGTTCCCTATGGAGGAATAATGGAACAGTCAACGATCGTACTTCCTCGGAAAGTAATATTCGATTCCAAAAAAATTTGCATAATTTCGCTCAGGTGTGGAAGAAAACAAATGGAGGCATACTTACATAATATTGCTTTCAATTGAAGAATTGTTCACAAATCTTCAATTGTTCACAGCTGCTGCCTACGCATATTGCACTGTCCTCTCTACCTTCATGAGGCTAAAATGGTAACCTAACTCATTTCAACATGGTCTATCTGCAATGCCCTTTTGGATGATGAATTCGTCTATCAACGGACCCTTTTAAGGCTGTTTCGGTGACTATCTTTTTCACGTGGCGAAAACCACCAGAAAGTCACAAAAACAGGTTTCAACACTCCCATGAAAAAAATTATCACCCAAGGGGTAGATACTTCCTGGAATTGGAGACAGAAAGGTCGATGAGTATTTTCCTGAGTCTTGATATGTCAGTATGGCTGGAAATGGTTCTCCATATTATGGTCTGACTTCTTGAACTTTGTAACTTGAGTGTGTCTCTCAGAAGCACTTGATGCCCAACTTCAATAAGGGACAATTGCCCAGACGTTCCTGTTTTTTTCAATGTTTTTATCTTTTAGATATGCCGAGCTATCACTTGCTTTCCCTGTCGCTGAAGAATCTGTCATTCAATCATATTTTCGTTCTTTCCCATGCCCATGCACGTGCATATACGGTTAATTTCCATTGCCTTTAAAAGTTTATTTAACCCTTATACGCATGATTTTTTCTTTTTCGATGAAAAAAATACTAATGGATTTTTATTATGTCATAGAACACGGGAAAAGTGGGAAAAAATTATTTTCTCAAATTTGTCAGTCGTTCAAAATGTTATTTTTGCAAATCTGCTGCATTTAACATTTTCAGATTTCTAACCTAAGTTTGCATGGAGACTCGAGAGCTCAGTCAACATTCGTACATACCTCAAAGCAAATGAAAATGTAAAACATACAGATGAACCTGGAAACTGAATTAGCATAAAGTTGAAAATAATTGCACGATCGGTCACACAACGAACCCCCGTGTGTTTATAGGTTGCTTGCTCCGAAGGGTGTAGGTCACCTAGAGATCCTTGGGGTGCTAGGTACGAAGACGAGAGTGTTGCACATCTGCTATGAATCGCCTTACTGACAAGTAAGTCCCAAGACTCCCAAGTAACAGAATGCTGATGGAATGTTTCCGAGATGGTGCCTATGTTTCCAAGAGCCAGCAAGTTGATGAACTGCATTGATCAAATGTGCTTCAACGTTTTCACTTCTGAGCTCCTTGAAAGTTGCTGAGACACTTCTACGAATATTATTTCAACATTTCCTATCGATTTTGGAAGAATGTTGGCACTATTGACATTGACAACACTGCGACAACATTCTGATTCTCTACGCACTTAGAAGTTTTAAGGAATTGTAAAGTTGTCCTCCAGGCCACTAGATGGACACGTAGGTATCGATTTTCTCGCTTACTGCAACATAAGAAAACTTATATGCAACGATCAGCACCGTCAATACAATGTTCCTTTGCAACATTCGAATGTTTTGGACATTTTCACATTGGAGCAACATCGACCATCAAAATTCTTAAAACTTTGTTGGAAAACGTTGTGCTATTTGGGAGAGCTTTCTACTTACGCATTCTAAGTTTTTTTTTTGAATATAGAATATCTACTACATCATGCATTAAAGAATTAAGAAGGCCTCCAGCCTCACAGATCGATCGGAACAAGAACTTTGACTACGACTGATCCCTCGACGCGCAGCACCAAGGGGCACAAGATGATTCGAATAAAAGGTATCGTTGGGATACATATATTTACATCCTTGCATATTCAAGCACATATAGGAAATCAATATATAAAAGTCGCAAATCACCTTAGGGAATCGGTACCCTGCAACTTCCGCCTCTTCTACTGCCTCATGCGGCAACGCGTAGGGGACAAGGCACGCCAAGCGGTGCGTCTCCATTATAAAGGCTTCGGTGTAAGGCATTCTGTGCGTCATGAGGCAAAAAGAAATAAGAATGAAGAAGGAAAAGGAAGGTAATGAAATGAAATCCGAGAACGATAAAAGAAAACGCCTGGAAAGAAAGGGCATTTCAAAATGAGTCAAAAGACAGCAACAAAGTAAATGAACAAATGATAATACATATGATATTAATTATTGATAAATGACGACATAATAGAAAACTTAGCATAATTTCTCAGACTAAAAGGCATTTGGAACGTTTATGACCTTCAAATTTTGCAATATGTCACTTTGCTAATATTGAAAGCCAGGAAAGAGGACTGCTGAACTAAAGAACTGAAAGGAAATCCTCCGACTCTAAGGAAACCTCATACACCATAATTTTGCCTGAATAGCTTCATTTCTGAAAATGAATTCTCATAAATTTTAATATGGTATATATCCTCCCAAGAAAAATGAAGATTGAAGGTTTCAGTGGTGCGATGAAGCCTTCTTTGAAGCGAAGTTCAAGATTTCTGATTCAAAATTTAAACATTCCCTGTGTTGGCAACGAGCTAATTCAGATATTGCCGTAGGAAATTGAACTCTCGAGGGTTTTTCCTAAGGATGAAAAAAAAAAAATCTTCCCTTAACAGGTGCAATACATGAACCTTCAATTCCGAAACAGAATTTGTCCAAAAACTAAAATACTTCCATAAAATACATTTTAAATCTTGAAAGTATCTTTGCCATAGTAACACATGACATAGAGGCAACATTGAATCCATGTTGATTCAATGTTACGTGCTAAAAGGGTGGGATTGAAGGTCTGTAAGCTTGCTATTTAGTTCATGAAGGCTAGATATTCCATGATGCATTTCCTGTGAAATTACTTTTCTATTCTCATTTTTTAAATACAGTATATACCTCTGAACGAACACCACCCTTTTAGCACCTACTAAGAATTCCAAGATCATGTTTCCTATCATGTCAAACCTGTCTCGATCATCCAGCGAAGGAAGTCTGTCGCACCCAACAATGCTGTCAACTTCGACCTGAAGTTTCTCCTGAATTTCAGGGTGGCAGAGGAGAAACAAGACGCACCACCGAATGGTATTCGATGTCGTCTCGCTCCCCCCGATGAACAGATCCGAGATGTTCACACGCAACTGGAACTCTACGATGGATACGAGCTACTTCCAATTCTCTCCTCCATCCCTTCCACGATGTCAAGATTTCCAACTATACCCGAGAAGTTGGGGTTGACCTCCCCTCGAGCCTTCTGCTGTGCCATTTCCGCGAGGTAAGCGTCCATGTAGTCGTTGGAGCCTCCGGACAATGGCAGCTTCCTCTTGTGTTCTTCCACTTCATCCTATGGAAATACGGAATATTATTCCCTTGCAATCGAATTCCTACTCGTAGTTGTGTCCCTTTAATTTGTCATTTACCATTTGTCATGTCATTTTTCCGTCATTGCTCTAGATGCTACGGTATTGTTCTCAGCATTATTCATATTTGAACAACCAAACATGAAGAAGTTCATGTGACAGTTGGACTCTCCACGAGTACTCGAAAATAGATTTCTAGATTCATATTGGGCTGTAAACGGAAAGACATTTTGGTTCAGTCTTCACCATTGCAGGATTAGAGCATGCCCCATATAAACATAGGCGCACCAATGGGAAGGGGGGGGGGGGCGTGAGAAGGCGAACAGCGCGAAAAGTCGTCTCCCCTCTCCTCCTCCACAGTTTATGAACTGGATCAAACTAGGTTTGCAGCAGGAAATGAGATGCGAGATGAACCGACGGGGGCATTCACTCAACCAATGTAATCCTGTTAGTAGGTGTAAAAACCTTGCTATTCTCGCCTCCAAAACTCTGGAGTCTTCATGCGTGTATGTAACCAGCCGAAGCAATTGAACTTTTTAACTGGCATTTTAATTGCGAACAGTTCTAACCCTAAGAACAGGTCGCCTAACCTATTTATATCGTTGTCAAAGGTACCGCAAATATTTGTGAAATGGCGGCCATGTTTCGGGCGATGCGTCGAGATGCCAGGAACGCCGGAGGCCACAGGTACGCCAGAAGAGGAGTCCATTGAAGGTGGCGGAGGACGTCGGAGTCCCTGAAGACTCCCATGATTCGGTTCATGAAGTCTTGCATCTTCGCGTCATCGTGAGAGAATTGTTTGTCTGTGAGGCGGTAACATGAATACAGAATTTACCCTTCGTACATTAAAAAAATTAAATGAAGGTTGCATGAACTCGTTTGCGAACCTGCAGTCATTTTCCAGATGATGTTTAGGATGGCGAGGTTGAGGCGGGGGCCGAGATCTTGCGGTTCATGCTGGTTCTCTATGAGGAATTGGCAGAGATCGACGGCGGCGTCTTGGATCATACAATTCAAGGCGGCCTTCTTCCCGAAGCCAAAATCCTTCAGAACTCGCATTGTGAAGCGGCGATTTTCTTGCCACAGGCTTCCCGACGAAGAAGCAAGACCTGTTTTGCAAATGTTATTTTCTGCAGTCGCTGGACTTCTCGTGAATCTAACATTGTACTTCGATTATGGCCTTTTCCCCCTTCATCGCTCTGAATTACTATTTGCTTTGATTGTAATAGCATACCGAAGGAATGATTTCCATTTTTTTAATACTATCCCATCCAATAGCGGATTTTTAATACGATAACCCCCTTTTACTGCAGTTGCAACTTGGTCGAGCAACTTGGTTTTCTTAGGTTGTTTTTCGGGCTGATCCATACCCATGAAAGGATCTATTTAAGTTTTTTTTTCAGTTATGATGATATGGGCGTCTTCCAAGGTAAAAACAATGAAATCTTTTTATTCCTTGGTACGAAAACATCGCGGCCTTTGGAAAGTCAACTAATGGAACTTAAATTTTGATTCACATCATTCATTTCATGTTTGAACCTGTCCCATCCGTTTGCTATCCCTAACGATAGAGCCTTATGGAATTCCTATTAGAATGTACATGAATCCAATAGGTTTTGTCAAACCTGTACACCTACGGATTTCTTATGGAACGCCATTGGAATCCATTAACTTAACATTAACTTAATTGGAAAACTTAAGGAGGTTTTTGGGAGCCCTATAAGATGCTATTAATTTCTATTGGATTCCTTTGGGCCCCATAAGAAACACATGAGATCCTATGAGACACTTGCATCATAATATATCTGTAAATGATTTGGTATACTTTTTTATTTTGATTTTTTAAATAGGATTCCATTGGAAACTTATAGGTTTCCCATGGGATTCCTACGGAACCTTTAAAATAGGGCATGAGCCACGGTAAAGATAATATTTTCATGGTATTGTTGAATGTCTCAATTAAACTTCAACACTCGTGTATTTTCTTCATTTCCTAAGCCTCTTGCCATGAGTACATACCGTCATTACTTCTGAGGAAGATGTAAAGCATTCATGTATAAGAATTTTCGAGGCATTGTCACTGTAAAAAATGCATGATTTCTGCTTTTCCCTGGATGCTAAATTCGCATGATCCTAATTCACGTTTATTTCAAGCCACGAAAATAAAATCCACGCGAACGTGAAAGGCTTGTCAATATTATCAGTTCGATAATGACTTCTCTGCTTCCTCTCAAAGTTAAATGGGCTGCATCTGGCTTCCTTTTGGTGAAAATGCAAAAGAAGGAGCAAAGTCTCTCATCAGTCAGGAACCTGACTTATCCTAGGGCGTCTTCGAAATTAATATTCAGAGACGGTACCGAATTTGCCGAAGGAAACTTGTTGAGCCAGAGCAATCTCGGTTCGACCGGAAAACTCTGCCCGTCCAAAGACATCCCTGATCAATTCCCAATTGCTGAGAATCACGAGGTCCTTGGAGAGCACCCCGAGGGTGAAGATGTCTCCGTATTTCTTTCTCAGGGCATCGAGCGCGTAGGGTTGACCTCCGTCCAAGAATGGGGCAGAGCCAAGAAGTGGAACTCCCCATGGTCCTGGGAATACGGATTTAATACACAAATACAAACTGGTACCTGAACGTGAACCTACTCGAAATCGGACATGCAACTCATGGGAAAATAGAACAAAAGGCTCCAGAGGAATTAACAAGCACTATCATAAAAATGAGAAAGCAAGTGGCGGAACGTTCTCCCTTCTTCACTCAACATTGAAAGAACGACTTCTTATGGATATCTCCTGGGAATCCCGGATCAGCTGACAGTATCAGATAAAAGGAACATTCTTCAATATACCTGGCGGGAGTTTGGACCAAAGAAGAAGCTTCTTTACAAAGAGGTGCAGGAGATACACGAGCAAGCAGGATGCTAACACGATGGCGACACCCATCCTTATCGCCAACGCGATATGAAGTGTTTGAGTGTAATTCCAAGAACGCCCTCGCCGGCGCAGCCTCTGTCGCCAGAGATAAATTTTTTTCTTGTTGCGCACCAGATGTATATTGAACGTTTGCGCAATGGCGATTTGGCATGATTTAACGAATTCAAGTCCATCTAGAACGTTGATTATCACCGTACTTGGTTGGATACAAGAGGTGCTGTTCAAGTAAACTCTTCCGTGGCATTGCAGTTGATGATGCCAGTATTCCTTTCCTTCTCAACCAGATCCTTGCATCTGTCTTAATTGCCCTCGACAATTATGGAACGTTCTCATATGCAAGCTCTCCTTTTCTTTACGATTAGCATATAAGAGAAGGAGAAAGGGAAGTCCCTTTGATTGACTTGCAAAAGACCCATGTCGCCTTGCACGGCACTTGATACGTCCTTGGATTCCGAGGAGCACTGATGACACTTTCCCTGCACCACCCTTGCCTATCGCCATTGCACTCCGTTGGCTTACGTGCTCTCAAGTACTAGCTTGCTCTGATCTCAATATATATTCTTGCATTGCCACCACCAGTCCCTACTTCTTATAATAATAGTCTCGCATAGAAAAGAGGGGTCACTTTCTTAGAAAAGCTGGTACTGTTAAGGTCTGGAAGAGTTATGAATAATGGAATATTGCAAGTTCTCACCCTAAGAGAGAGAACTCAATTAATTAATCATGCTTAGCTGGAGCCTATGTTATATGAATTAGATTTGCTTCTTCGAACTGGACGAGATTTAGAAGAAAAGTTGACAAAGTAAAAATATGCACAGTAAAAATACATGCATACTATAAAATGCTGCTCTCTGGCTAATGAACTTGAGAAAATTTTCAAGATTGAAAAACATGGGACGAACGGTCCTCCCCGGGTAGCTTCTTTCCGTTCTTTCTAAACCTCAACCTTGCTTCCAGCTTCTAAGGAACATCAAAAATAGATTCTCGGCACCACTAGTCAACTATGGGAAGTGCTGCGAATGTCGTCAGTAATCTCAGCATTGCAATCATCAGCGTTCTGCTTCCACTACCAGTCCCCTAGGCACGGGTAGAGAGTATTCTCAGATGGTCGGACTAATGTCCTTAACATGTGCTTGGAACAGATATATTTGCTACTGTAGTTATATTGGGGTGGCTACCTTCTCTAAGCGCACTCAGAAAATCTTGTGAAATCTTCTGGGTTTTTTTTTCTAAGCTTTTGCACATTCCACTCTTCTCTTCCACAGTAGATATTGCTTTATTCGGTCGTTGCATTCATTTTGGAGTCCGTTGTGAAAGATAATGATACACAGGTGTGCCGAGATTCCCGACCGGGTAATGCAGACTATACCAGTAACTGTAACAAGATTGCCAACATCTGAACTTCACCTTTGACCCAGGCCCTCGGAAAGGAAAGGCCAGGGGCACTCGAGGTTCGCGGTACAAGGAGGTTTATACTGTAATATAGGTATCACCCTATCCAACGTGGACGAGGAAGATCTGACACAGAAGCAACCAGGCAAGGTGAAAGTGAAAGGTTTTCTTAGAGTGCCGACATTCGCAGCACTCACCCTTTAAGTTGTTCCCCCTCTCCCGAAAAAGAGAAGACACCAGCATGCACCTCCTCCTGGACATCCGCTTGACGTACTCCAGAAAATTTACGCGGCACGAAATTGGAATGCGAGTAAATTCCCCCCCCCCGTACAAAAAGTTTAAGTCATTTTGTGATATTTTTGACACTAATAATACATGCATAACAAAATTATGCAATTTTTTTCCACGCAATGTTCTTGTTAGTTCACTCTCGTAACGCATGTTCACTTTGACCTAAAGTTGATCATACCTTATGAACACAGTCTCTAGATACAGTCTCCCAATCACGTGCAATGCTACTCAAAGCCAGAATCATTGCAATCCTGCTTTTCACAACAGCTGCATCTGTCAGGTGATGATGTCGACTTCTTTGTTTGTCCCTATTGCATTTCATGTGTTTCTTTTTCAACAGCTTAGCCTCCTTTGTTATATTTCAAAGTACTCAGCATGTTCAAGTATATTTCACAAGTACCTCGAAAACCTTGGATTTTATGTTGAGAAGTGACCATATTCCCTCAACAACATGGGGTATTATGGCCTCTTGGGGCCGACTTGGAAATGATTCAAAGGCGCAATATTCATATGCTTTTAAGCATGTGTCTTGCTGGGATTGAGAGATGTCAATCCATATTTTCTAAATATTGGTCAAGTCAAATTCGACTTTCATGAGCTGTCATGACCAGGCTTCATTTTTTAGGGTCATGATCATCCAAGTTGCATCATGTGCATACCTAACAAGTTAGCAGTCGCTCCATTAATCCCGAAATTAAATTTAATAGAAAATGCTGCTCATCCAATGACTCACCAGCCTAAACCAATTACAGAGAGTAACTGAATTATTCATGGATTCCTCTCCTCAACGAAGAATACTGAGGGCTTAGGATGATTGATGAGAGAGTTGCAAGAACCTTCGGCTTTGGGGTTAGGGTGTCCTGTAGTAGTGCAGAGTGTCAGTTTTTGTTTGAAGATAGTCATGAACAAGATTTCCATTTGAGTCAAAGAAGCAAATGGAACTCGCACAGCCTCAGACGCTCAGTCAGGATATGGCTAGGCAATTGACTAGCTGTTTGTGTCTATTAAACGATAAGAAGCATTACTATCTAAAAAGGGTATTGAGTTCAGGCACCATATCTAGTTGGAGAGTTACATATACCTTTAAGTCAAACAGAAAACAGGACTGTTTTGTTGTCATTGTTCATAGAATTATTTTTAATTGAAGGAAACCTATGTTCACTATTGCAGCCTATGAGATTAGGCATCGGTGAAATGGTTCTCTGTTTCTTGGTTCGATATCTTGAACTTCAGTATGTCCATCAAAACACTCTGCTTCAATGGGATACAGTTGCTCAGACATGAACATATAATTTATTAAAGTAATGCAGGTGGTCAGTAAAGTGTATTTGAAAAAGAATTGTCCCTTACCAAAGTGCAAATTTTGTGGATGTTTTTCTGCAGGAGACGCTTTTTTCGTTTTCGTTGTTGTTGACAGTGATGTCTCGATATTTGATATTTCTTTCATTTGATAAAAATAATTGATTTTTGCCGGAGAATGTTTTCAGGAGATAGATAGTTTAATGCCTGCACGTATGAGCTAATCTCAAATTACTCTTGTTGTAATGTAGATTTATTTTCAATGGCTCCTGTTGGGGCACATGGGTATTTGGGGTGCAAAATTGCGCTCTATTTGTGGGCGCAATAGCTCATAACTCTGCGCCAAAAGTTTCCTGATAGTTGCCAATTTCCTTTGCAATATTTTTCCTATCTAATAACATGCAATTGGAAACGGAAGACTCTGAAGGGTTCAACCCTAACAGATGTCATATTCCTGAACGTGAAACAAATCGCATATTATTTTCTGATTATTGGTTCCCAATTTTTCTGGGCAAATTTGGTGAAGTGCGTCAGTATCCAAGAGCTTCTCCTTCTGCTGAGCAAATATTTTTTTGTGCGATGACTTAAGGTGAACAGAAATTCATTTAGAGATGTTTCTGGGGATGATCCATCATACCCCGGACACTGACCCAAGGAGCAAAAATATTAAAATAGGACTTTATCGCACAAAACTTGTAGGTTGACAACTTAAAAACACGGGATTGCACAGGGTGTGTGGGTTTTTGAAAGCAGGACCTGCCATTGCTTCAAAGAAATAAAAATGCTCAAGTTGGAAGCACACAAAAAAGTGACCCAAGGTGCCCCACACTCCCCTACATGTTTCACTTGTGAGGGCAGTCATAGAGATGAATGAAAGTTAAGGATGAGCTGATGAGTTCTATCGTTAAAGGTAGTGGCGTGTCGACCGATGGAAGCGTGGGCTCACATGGTGCGTGCAGAGGCCTCATATCGTAGCCTCTTTTAAGTGGCTACTAAAAAAAAGCTGTGATAGGTATTGCGGAAAGAAAGATGGCAGAATGAGTTGCTTCAGAGGTAATATTTCACGACTATACCAAATTACTCTTTGCAAGCGAAATCAAGAATTGGACCATGTTTTGCTTGGAAACATTTTTAAATGAACTTTTCAAGAAGTAGGAATAAATATATAATATCGCACACATGTCAAATTTATAATTACATTCGCTTCATGTAGGAATCATGGAAAATCAAGACAAAGCACAATAAAGTCTCTCAAATTACTTCTCCTCCAAGGATCGTCTCTCTTGTATGAAGGCGCGTGGACGTGAAATTCGTCGCAAAAATTCGCGAAACTCTGAAACTCTGATACATGATAATTTTATTCGAATGAAGAATAAGACTTCCATCAATAAACAAGCGCTTAAAACCCTTAAACCATGCCGCAAGAGCGCGTCGAAGAAGGGGTGAATGAGCCTGCGAACCGTAAACTTAAAGGGTAACAGGAATCACACTAACCAAATTCAATTCAATGTGCATTCCAAAATGACTCGCAACCGTTGTGCAGGATGCTGATATTAATTTCCACGATCAACTCAATGAGAACTCCTCAGTTAATTAGAATCGGACTCTAGGGATACGAAGCATCAAGTTCCTATTAAATGCCACACTAACTCCAATCGAGGGTTTTGACATTAAATTTTCAGATCTTATTTCAGATTTCTACTTAGTATTAAGTTTTCTGAATGTTCACGCTGTATGTTGAAATTTTGGAATGCCGCTGGGGAAGATACTGTATATATATACCACGTATAAAGATGGTCTGACTATAAAATAACGAGACTGACAGAACTGTAATGCGTGTGGCAACACTGGGTTACTGGCGATTGGTGCAACCTGTCCGTGCATGTCTTAAGTCTGTGCAGTAATAAATTTATCGTGATACTTCGAGTGATTGCAGAGCAGGAGTAAAAAGTAGTGTTAGGGGCACTCGTAAAAAAATGGGTGATAATATTATGAACAAAGAATCAGCGTGAAATTTCTAATCAAACTCGGGAAAAAAAAAACCAACTGAAGTCTTTGAAATGTGGAAAAAAGGGTACGGAGATGAGGTTATGTCCAGAGCAAAATGTACTTGAACGGTGTATATCCACAGAAATTACAAATGGGTGGGGGTGACTACCTCTTCAGTAATTGATTTCATTTCATCATCCTCCTCGACTTTATCTTCCCGATGGAGATGGAGGAACAATCGAGAGTTTCCCCAGATTTCTCCGCGTATGCCTGCAATCCACAAATCCTCATTGTCATCTTGAAAATGAGGTAAGCTATATCGGAGTTACGACTCACCCGTGCAGCCGCGAGACGAAGCCGCTTTGCCGCTCCTGGTCCAGTCTGGCCTACCAGTTCAGAGAAGAAGCCGTTCTCGTTCTGCAGCAGCTCGTGCGGTAGCCCTAATTCCTACGGGACAGATTGCTTCATCAATAGACACACATCTGTACGCGGCATGTCTTCTATCGGTCTAAATCGGAAGTTCGAGGTGCACTCACCTTTATTTCTCCGTGGTCAAGGACGAGAACTTTATCGCTGTCGATGATCGTATCCAAACGATGTGCAATCGTCAACACAGTGCAGTCACTGAAACTCCTTCTAAGTGTGTCTTGTATGAGGGCATCTGTCCTGCAGGAGGAATTCAAAAGCGACTCGTTACTATTTCGGACGCTCTATTCAGAAGGGACGATTAGTCTCACTTTGGATCGACGTTGGCTGTGGCTTCATCGAGAACGAGGATTTTGTTTTGGCGAAGGAGGGCCCTGGCCAGGCAGACGAGCTGCCGCTGACCGACGGAGAAATTGCTTCCTCCTTCGGAGAGCTTTGTATCTAGTTTATCCTTCATTTCGCTGACTGGTTGCTTCAGCTGAACCTGAGAGATGAGGGGAAATGACGACTTGCTTGGTTTTTCCAACATGGAGACCTGAGAAAAGTTCAAGGCAGAACTCACTTGTTCCAAGACTTTCCACAACGCCTCGTCCGAATGCTCATTGAATGGGTCGAGGTTCCGTCGCATCGTTCCCTACGAAATCAAGCGCATCAGGATATAAAACACCGGCAGGAAGTGGAGAGCAGATAATAAAAAATTAATTCAATGGATGAAGTGAGAACCTGGAAGAGGACTGGATCCTGTGGAATAATGGCGATTCCTCGTCTGACATCATGGAGACCGTAAGCCTTTGTGTCTCTTCCGTCCAAGAGGATTCTACCCTCGGGCTCCGTCAGACGGAAAAGGACGGCAATCAACGATGACTTCCCTGCTCCAGTTCTCCCCACAATTCCTACCTGGAAACCAAGGTGTAAGGACCAAAGGAGTATCGCGTCCGTCTTCGTCGCGCAGGATAATCGACGATTTCTTAAGGTTGGGTTGCACACCTTCTCTTTGGCCGCTATCGTGAATGTAAGGTCCTTGAGCACCGGCGATGAGTCAGGGGCATATCGTAGGGAAACGTGCTCGAATTTCACATGCCCTTCTGATGGCCAGTCTAAAGGTGGCTTCTTGCCTGCAATAAGGGATATGGGAAATTCAAACCCTCTTACTAAGAGTGAGGGGGGGGGGGGGGAGAACATTGTGTGAATCGTTTACCAGGGGGAGATACGAGGGTCGCCTCTTCTTTTAAACGGGAAAATTCCATGATTCTTTCCACAGACACCATCTGATTCTCCAATTCTGCACTCTGTCGCACACCCAATTGGAATATCCCAGTCAGCATAATTGCCGAGGATATCGCGAGCCCGACATCCCCACTCAGTGCCTCTGTTTGATTCCAAATCTCCGTCAGTATCTGTTATATCCATCTAGTTGCATGACGAGAATCTACGAGAACTTTTTAATAGTACCTTGATCGATCTTCATGAAACTGTAGGTGATTGCAGCCAGATAGGCGACAATTAGCCAGTCCAACCAAATGCCGAACCATCGGGTGCCAGATAGGAAAAGAATCCAGGAGGATGTGTGAAGATCCTGGGAAATTGAAAGCATTGAGACGTCGGGATATTTTCTCTCGTAGCCAGTTAGAACTGCAAAATTCTAGCTTCATATCTCACTTGATGATTGTCAAACTCCTTGATGAAGATACTCTCGGCATGCGAGGCTCTGATGGTCGCCAACCCGTTCAAGGAAGCACTCAGATGAGAAAAGACCGGACTTCGTGCTGTGATTGCAAGTTCGAGCTGGTATAATTAAGAAGGAATTTTCATGATGTTTTTAGTTGAAATCTAGTTTTAAAATTTCCCTGTCTTAGTAAAGTCTCAGATGAAGTCAGGTTTTTCTCAAAAAGCATGTGAAATAGCGTGCTAGATTATCTCAGATCTCAGACTGTGTACAAGCGATCGATTCGAGCATTCAACAGAGATATCTGCATAGATTCAACATACTGATGGATTCAAGGCGCTTCAGATCTCTGGCCGTATTCAGATAGAAGTGACGTAGACAACTGAAGGCCACCATGACAACGATCGTGCAAATGACGATGTAGTAATTGACAATGCAGAGCAGAACTGAGACGCCCAGTATGTGGAACGCCACCTACGATGAATCAAGAACATTTGCAGGCATAATGAAAATCACACGAACTAAAAAAAAACTTAGTTATGCATGCAGAATTGAACCATTAGATGGGAAAGTAACATGTCAGTATATAAGCGAAAACCAGCAGATTTATGTGGTTTTTTGAGCTTTTCGGACTGACTCCTAACGGTTCGACATCTTGTGTCATGTGGAAAATTTCAGAATAACAGGAAATTGCCACAAAAAAAAACTGATTATCCATAAATAAAATTCAGCATCATTAAAGGTATTTCCAACACAATGATTATGGTCTTTGCCCAAATAAAATAGTACATTGATTAAAAGTTTCCGAAATGTTGTCTATTCTGCTCTATGTTGAAAATTGATGTACAACATTGATGAAACATTGCTTCAACGTTTTCACTTAGAATTTTGCAGATACACTTCTACGAATGCTATTGCAACATTTGCTATCAACATTGAGAGAATGTCGACACTCTTGACATTGACAACGTAGCGACAACATTCTGATACAACATGGAAGTTTTAGGGATTTGTGAAGTTGCCCTCCCTGCCACGAGATGGAGGCGTAGGTCTCGCTTTTCTCACCGTACACAAAAGTGCCCTTCTGCCTTTCCCTGGAATCATCCCTCATAGGAATGTTTAGTACCTTGCCAGATGTCTCGCATTGTCTCATTATAGGAATCAATGAGCACCGACCCTTCATCACTTGTTATTCTCATTAGATTCATGGGGCGAAAATAAAAAACGAGCTCAAATTTCAAAAAAGAACCCTTCTCCAGACCTCGTCGATTACATCCTACGGGACATTGAAAACGATGGTAGAGTGTGTGACTTCAAACCTTCATTTCCTCATCTTGAGTACTAGCTGAGGAATTAAAGGACTGGATTCGTGGACACTCCATAGAACTTTGCTTGTGGACCTTTTCCTGAAATGTGCCGTATTTAGCACATTCAGGCGAAGATTACCTTTACTTAAAAATTTACGTCTCATACCTATACATGATATAGATACTGTATTATGCATGGGTAGGGTTTATACCAGTACAGGCTTCGTCCTGTTGATGGGAACGTTTGGGTGAAGAGGTAGAGTATATTCTACGAAAGATGAAAGAAATAATTCAATATGTGCAGAATATCGGTCCAGTTCGGGGCCAATGAGGCCTACGCTTTTCCAGGTAGTAATGCCAATATAGGTCCAGATTAGATGCCAGTGAAGCAACGTTTTCCATCATAATTGCAGCAACATAAGTCCTGAAACGTTTCTGCAACGAATATGTATTGAATAAATAACGACTTGCAACGTCAAGGCAGAGTTCTTTTGCAATATTTGAGCAACATTGATATTTTGGGCATTTACACATAGAAGCAACATCGTTCATCAACATTTCCGAAACTTTGCTGGAATATCTTGTGTTACTTGGGTAGTAGAGAGAAACATTCCAATGACATGCAACTCATTCACTAATTCCTCAAGCGGTTTGAAACGTTTAGCTAATCTGCGTATGGAAGTTTCTGAGGAGGGAACTTGTCCAAATACCCCGCATCTCTTAGGATATTATTCAGAATCTGCCTCTTAACCGGGAATAAACACTTTCATATTCACGCAGATAATAAAAAGAGAAGCAGCGTAGGGGATTTCCTTGGAATACCGAGAAAGGAAACCACACTGTTTCAAGAGTAGAGCGAAACGGCCGGGCCAACCTTGCTCCACTTTTAATCCTGAAAGAGTCAATAAATGCCATCTGTCTTCCTCTCCCCAGAGGGGAAAGAGAGAACCTTCCCTTTGACTCCTTTGCCAAACGGTGGCCGACCGCTCATGGGTGGAGGGGGCTGGTATCACTTGATAATGATTTTTGAAACCTTGAAAAGATGCCTCATGAGAGCCAGGAACACCCCGCCGCTGACAGCCTCCAAGCCCTTTCCCGACATTTCGACAAGCGGGTGGCAACACAAAATAATGAGCTACCATGAAACAGGCATTGCCCACGTAACAATTTGGACCGGATAGGATATTCAAGCAGTACTGCGCAAATAACGCAATAAACACTGTATCTGATAATCTTACTCCGAGACTGTCGCAAGCCGTAGGTGGCAGCATGTCGTCTGATGCTCCGACGTCCTTACTGAATCTATTCAGGATCCGGCCTGCAACATGGAGCGTGAGTAATATTTCTCTATTTCGAATGAGATCTCACAAATCCACTTCATTCATTTGTGAGACACGAACGGCAATAGCGATGGGCTCTTGGAAGATATAACGTGAAGATGGCACTCACCAACTGGATTGTTATCGAAGAAGGCGACTGGGGCTCGGAGTACAGATTTGAACATGCGAGAATGAAGGTTGATGGAAGAATTCATGCAGATATGGAAGAACAACACCGTCCTAAAGATGGCCAGTAAAAACAAGGCCACCACGATCGCCACGTAGATGTACATAGGCGTCCACGAATCCAATTGTGGATTACCGAAGAGTATCTCCACTGCAGAACTATTGGTCCAGTTCCCCGCCTCCTGCTGCGCATTCGTCCTGGAAGCAGAGGCAACAACAAATGACATAATCCTGCCCTTCCAGACTTCCAAAGACAAATATTAATAGGAGCACGAACCAGTACGAGAGCCACCAATCAGAGCCCGAGAATGCACACTGAGTGAGAATGTAACTGACGATGAGGAGCAAGCGAAGGAACCATCCAGCACCTGCTTTCAGATAATCCCAGTATATCCTTGCTGATAACCTTCCACGAGATCTAGTTTCTTCTACGAGTGTAGGTGCAGAAGCTTCCGCTCCAAGCTGCGAAGGAAGCCACGAATTCGCATCACGGACTATCGAAAATACCTAAATGGCGCAAATACGAAAAGCTTTACTTTTGTTGTGATTCCCTCGTTCATGTGAGACTGAACGTCCAGACTTTGCAAGCTTTCATTAGAGCAGGTTGTATTTCTCTTCGTCGATGAAAACTCTTCCTCGAGATATTGAGTAGTCTTATGTTTGGCCATCAATTTCGTAAAATCCACTCCCGATTTCAGCAGTTCATTATACGTGCCGCTCGTCGCCACTTTCCCCTGTGTGAATGGAACAGACATATCTCAGTAACTATTAAAAAAACCTAGAATTGCATCGATGAGGGTGAAATTACATTTGATAAGACGATGATGACGTCTGCCTTTTGGAGAAACTGAAGCTGATGAGTGACCAATATCCTCGGCTCGTCTTTCAAGTATCCCATGATGCATTTGTTGAATAGGTGTCTTCCTACATGAGCGTCTACCGCTGACAGTGGGTCGTCCAAGAGGTAAATGTCTGCTTCTTGGTACAACGCTCTATCCGCACAAAACCCATCAGAACTCACTACCACTTCTCTTAAAAGGGATTACGTTCATGACTTAAATGGGACAAGAACGAGGAAGAAGAATCGTGCATCCAGACCTGGCGAGTGAAATCCGGGCTTTCTGGCCGCCGGAAAGAGTGATTCCACGGTCCCCAACGAGACTCCGCTCTCGATGGGGGAAATGATCGAGGTCCTTCTGAAGTGCGCAGGCGTGTACGACTCGGCTGAAGAGTGCTGCATCATATGGTTTCCCGAATGTGATATTTTCACGGATGGATCCAGCGAAGACCCAGGGTTCTTGTCCTGTGTATGCCAGTCGTCCCCTGACCTGCAATTCACCGCTCTCCAGTGGTAACTCCCCCAAGATCGCCTGCAACAAGGAACTCTGCAGGAAGACGGAATCCAGCATATCACGATCGGAAGAGGGTCTCCTGGAAAAATTTCGAAATGTGGCCTATACCTTTCCGCTGCCAACGGGACCTATGACTGCAACGAGTTGGCCAGGTTTCACAGATACTGAGACTCCATTCAGAACGATGCTTTCTCGACCTTTCGTCCATGAGGCCATTGCATTCTTCATCTCGATTCCCGGATTTCCATTCTTGGACAAGGGTTTTGTGGATTTTCTTAGATCAGCATCACCGAGGGCACCAGGACTGGATACCATGTAATGGTATGGCTTCCGCAGTTCCTCATGGAGGAGGAATTCCTGTATCAGGAAATGAACTTCATTTTTCGATTTGTTGCATCGGTTTTCTCATTACGTTCTAAAAGGGTCCGGACTAATCTTGACCTGCTGTCGTTTGATCGAGATGACAGTTTCCGCTGCTTGAGCAACCCCAAAAGGGAAGTAATAGGTCATGGTCATACGTATGTTGTTATACACGGCCACTGCGAGGAACACCTAAGGAGAGTAGAGCTTTTGCATTACTTCTTAATTTTTAACATGTCTCATTTGCCCTCATACGATTCTGCGCAAAATTTTGGGCATTGCCTAGCAACACAGATGGCAGGGAAAGATAGTGATATAGAAGACCCCAGAGACAATACTTAGATTTGGCACTGCCGTATCTTTTGTCAGCTCTCAAGAGCAGTATTTCTAATCATTTTTCGTGCAAATTTCGACCAATAAATTCCTCTTCCTATATTGATTTGACCTATGAATGCGGAAACGTCCAGAAAGAATGCAGCTGTCACTCGAATAAATTGAGTGTAATTTTTAAGCTCAGAATAACGCTTCCAGGATATTATCCAAGTAACACAAGATATTCCAGCAACGTTTAGGAAATGTTGATGAAAACAATGTTGCATCTATGTGTAAATGTCCAAAACGTCAACGTTGCTCAAATGTTGGGAAGGAACATTGCATTTACGGTGAAAATCGTTACTTATTTATTACATATTTTTGCGGAAACGTTTCAGGATTTATGTTGCTGCAATGTTGATTAAAAAACGTTGCTTCACGGGCAACGGGCAATCTGGGCCTATATTGGCATTACGGAGAAGCGTAGGCTTCACTGGTCCTGAACTGGACCGATATTCGACCAATATTGAATTATTTATTTCATCCTTTCTTACCATATACTTCCCAACTCTCTGCCCAGAAATTCTCATCAACAGGACGAAGCCTGTACTGGTTTTACCCTCTACCCATGCATAATACAGTAGCTGTATCATGTACGGACAGGAGACAGTACATTTTTGGAGGTGAACTTCCACTGGATGTGCTAAATTGCACGAAACAGGAGAAGGTTCGACTGCAATACTCTATGGAGTGTCCACAAGATCAATCCTTCGTTTCCTCAGCTGGTACCCTGAATGAGGATATGAAGTATTGAGACCGCAGACTCTCTACCATCGTTTTTATTGCCTTGTAGGATAAATTCGACGAATTCTTGGAAAAGAGTTCTTTTTGGGAATATGAGTTTTTTTTATCTTGACCCCATTAATCTGTCTGGAAAATGAGAATGACAGGTGATGAAGTGTCCGTGTTCATTGATTCCTATAATGAGACAATGCGAGACATATGGCAAGGTACTAGACATTCCTGTGCGGGACTATTCCAGGGAAATGGGAGAAGGGCACTTGTGTGTTCCGTGAGAGAGCGAGACTTACCTCTCCATCTCGTGGCAAGGGGGACGACTTCACAATTCTCTAAAACTTCTGAAAGTCCATGTTGTATCAGAATGTTGTCGCTGCGTTGTCGATGTCAAGAGTGTCGACATTCTCTCGATGTTGATAGGAAATGTTGCAGTGACATTCGTAGAAGTGTCGCGGCAACATTCCAAGTGAAAACATTGAAGCAATGTTTTCTCAATGTTGTACAGCAACTTGCAACATAGAGCAACACAGGCAACATTTCGAAAACGTTTCGTCGACATACTGTGTTACTTGGGTACTCTAGGCATAGGTAAGTCCTTTATAATACCTTTGTGCAGGGTGATCAAGAAGTCACTGTGCAGGAGAGTTTGTGATATGCTGTAGGAAGTCTGATTGTAAATGGGATTTCAAGACAATACGGTAACCCGAACAAGTTGAACCCGAACCCGAACAGCTGAAGAGAGAAAAGCCCGAAATCATGATCTATTTGTGACGAAGTTTCTTCAGCATGAGTTCCTTTGGTAATGAAGTGTTTATTTCATCATATTTCGTCATATTTATAACTTTTCTGGAATCGTGAGTTCTCGACCTAATATGGGATTTATCTGGATAATTTCGGATAAAATACCTTTGCAGCAGTGAGTTCATTGCCAAGTATCACATAGACGATAAGATTGATGAGGAGAATGATTTTTGACGAGGAATAGAAAAGGCCAATGTTAATGCCCCGGAGATAAGACGTCCTTCTGAGCACATGTATCTCGTTCCTGGCAGGGGAGGAAATCAAGTTTTTCCATCGTGAACAGCAATTGTAATAATACGAGGGGTGTTCGAAAAGTAATAGGAATTTATTAATTAAACAAGAACGATTAGACCTAAGGTAACAAGAGTCAGCCCATACGTAGGCCAACATGTAAGCATTAGGACCTGTCAATGCCATTCAATACACTCAGTCCATTCTCGAGTTATAGGCCGTGCTGTAATTCGAGCCAGAGGATGGCCGTCGAGATGATGGCCTGAATCGGTCCTATCCACAGGTAGTGGAGGTAGATGACCGATTGGTCGAATCTGTTGACGTCGTTGGACAGGAGGTTCACCATCTGACCCGAAGTCGTTCGACCCAGTGCACATTTGCTCAGTTTCAACGCCTTAAGGAAAAATGGGAGTTTCGTATGAGTCGTTCGGGAAAGAACGAAAAGAGAGTGGAAATGCAGACTTTTCTGTAGATGATGGATCCGCACGCGACTCTGATCTGCATTCCGTATCTTCCGATGTTGAAAAAGACTGCATGGTGCGTAAAGATGTACAAAAGAGAGCATAGTATGACGCCAGTGCCAAATAACCAGCCCCAATATGTCTCGTTTCCGTATTTCCAGTTCCCGGAGAAATATCGGATCAGCAATGCCATGAAAACCGGCTGAGCCACCCTGGAAATAAGTGGCGATTTCGAAAGTGGTGCGATAATCCTCCAATTGTAAATCTAGCGGTGATCGACTTCAATCTCTCAAGGTTTCCTCGCCCTTAACCGGCACCATTACAACGCCTTCATGGATTGAGTAGGGAGAATAGGGATGCGGCACGCAATCGCATCCGGTCACGTAATTGCCATTTGGGATGGATGAATGCGTTTAAAGTTTCTTCTGGACCTGGACATACCAGAGGTGCAACGAAGGTCGTTGTTTTCATTACCTCAGGACGCATTCTTCGAAGAAGACGAAGATCCCAGCCGCGGCGTACTTCCCTCCGAATGTCCTGACGATGGCCTTCAGTAAACTCGGTCTTTTCATCTTCTGCCCTTCCTTCGTCGTCGTTTGTTCCGTGTCCAAGTGGCCGTTTGAGACGTTCGCCTTCCTCAATTCATGCTCCCATTGTCTATATTGCATTTCGGACTTCGTCAACAAATGTCCATTGCCATTTCCGGCAACTATTCAGGTTTGACTAAGGAACAGCTCTCAGTCGAGTTTAACTCCGGTTTCGAAGCACTTTAAAATTTTTAGGCTCACCTCTGAAGTTCATCTCCCAAATTTTCCGACTCGTCTCCCTGTGGAACTCCGAACAGATCGCCCAGCTCCAAGTCCCTCCTCGACCCGAGCCACATGAGAGGGTTCAACCACCTGCGAAGAAAAGGCGGGGATCGTAAGACTTGTCGGTGAGGGCGTGGTTCCATCACGGACTATTTCTTTATGATCTTTATGAATAATAATGAAATGTCTGGAACAGAAACGTCTCTCGAATGGTCCAGAAAACAACCCTCCATCGATGTTGCAAATCGTTACATATTCATTGCGTAAATAGTGCTTCAATAAAACGTAAGCGCATTTCATCAGTCACGTACACAGTGACACGATGTCCATTAATGTTAGTTATTCTTTGATGGGAACGCCTCGAAACGGTGTTACCCGTCAGCACTAAGCCAAAACCGCTTGAT